TAGCTGCATCACACACACATACACCAAAAAGGAAAGTCACAGATGCAAGCAAAATATGGGCAATCTGGCTTTAACAGCCAAAGTCAACATCTGCCCTGTGGTGGGACCCTCGGAGACAGACAAGACATGGCTAACATGTGACCCCTGCAATTCAGGAGAGGGGTTTCCTCTACTGAATGCTAAATTCAGGCAGGTTTGGAGATGAATGAAAACTGCACACCATAAGGGACGGCCAGGAATAGAAAGCCCATGTGGGGGAAGAACGCTCTAGATGTAGCAAATGCATTTCCAAGAGGCTTTTATCATTCTTATTTTGTCACTACTATCAACAATAATAAGAAAAGAGCTTACAGAGCAGCCTCCCCAATCCCTGAGCAATGCATCCAGAGATTAGCAGCAGAGAGCAGTGGGCAGCAGAGAAAAGCTGTTCAAGGAATGTAGAGGCATGCATAATGAGATTACGGAATTGGAGTTGCATGTTTTCAAGGATAAATGTGATATTATTGCACTGGCAAAGACATAGCAGGAGCAGGGGAAAGGATGAGAAATAGCCTGTCAGAAGGGAGGGATTGCTGCAGCTGAGCTCCAACAGGACAGGGACAAGTGGGAAGTGGAGGCAGCGAGGAGGAGAGGAAGTGCACATCCTACTTGACATGCAGATATGCAGAGAAGCTTTCTGCAAAGTGGGTGATGTCATCGTGTTTTTCTCAGCCTTCAGGACAGCAAGAAAAAAATAGATGAAACCAGCACATGCAGAGGAGTCTGTAAGACGAGTAGACTTTTTCCCCCCCCCTCTCTGTGCAACACTAATTGCTCAAATATTGATCGGGGAAATAATTTGTGAGGACTAAAGAAGGAAAAGAAATCCTTTCTTCTTAAGAGGCAAAAAGGGCAGTGTTTTTGCAGAGTTGCTGGAAAGGTCCAGGTGATCAGAGAATTTCCAAAACCATGTAAGTTAAGATGTTCAGTTGGTCTAGATTTTATTTGTTTATACTGGAAAACACGAAACAACTGCAGTCTGTGATTTTTTAGGATTCCACATGAAGTCTAGTTGGAATTATAGCTAGGCTGGTTCTCCCAAGGGGCACAAGTGTCTCGCCAAGCTGGTGAGAGACCCATGGGTCACAACTAGCCCTGGTTAGTAGAAAGCAATAGCTTCAGGAGGGACTTTGGCAAGCCAGGGCTGCCAGCTGGGCTGTGGGTGACAGGAACCAGCTGCCCAGGCTTCGCCTTGGCGAGAGAAAGAGCAATTAGAATGAAAAGCCCAAACCAGAGTGCTGGAGCACTGCTAGCCACTACTGCCCTGGCATGGACACGGAGCCTCAGGGAAAAGCAGCAGTTCTGCTTGGCTTTTGGAGAGCTGCTTTTCTTCCCTGAGGAAAGGAAAAGGAAAACTACCGTGCAACAGAATCAGAGAGCTACTCCGGGAAATATCTGCACCTCATCCTCTTCTAGGGTAAATCCTGACAGAAGCGAGCACCAGAGAGTCATCTGTGGTTAAAAATGGATGTTGGGAGTACACTAAAGTACAGGAAGAATACCATTAAGAAAACAAAAACAAGAATCCACCAACAAACTATCAAGATAGACTGGCAGAATGATAAAAATAAGCATGAACATGCAAAAACAGTGACTGCAGAAAGAGGAAGAAGCATCCACAAAGCCTGCAGTGGGTATTTCTCAGAGATATACAGACAAATAGCCACAGGAAGCAGGAGAATCAGACCCTTTGAAATATATTCTAAGGTTAGAGAGAGATGAATGGAGAGTTTTATTAAATAACTGCCCGATAAATATTTTTTCATTCGGTGGAGGGCAAGTCCCTCCGTTCTCAGTTTTGTGCACAGGGGTTTTCCCACTGGACAAGATAAGTGCAGGGGAACATAGCACAGCAAGGGGTTCCAAGCTCAGTGGACTGGAGGATGAAATGTTTTGGGCACAGCCTGGCCCTGGGGAAGGGCTGAGGTGCTGCCCTGACACCTCACACAGGGACAGTGCGGGTACAGGGTGGGAGAGCAAACACCCCTCTGGCAGTGCTGGGGGTGGCAGCAAGGAGGGGGTTCCAACAGCCATCCAGTGCCTCAACCAGAAATCTGGAGGCTCTCAAAGAGTGGGTATTATAAAATACAAGAGTGTTCTCTCAAGTCACGTACAGAGTGAAGCCTCACACGTAAATAAGACCCTGCCTGCCGTGAGGTGCTGAGTTTAAAAGCCAGACACAGTAGTCAAAAGATACAGGTAAATCCCCAGTGGATAAGAGAGCAACAAAAATTAGGATCTGGGAGATTCTTTTCCTATTTGAACGCCGTTTTCCACCCTGGGGTACATCACATATAATCCCATTTAAGTAAATAATAAATATAAAATCCACAAAACAAACAAACCAAAAACCCAAGAACAACAACAACAGAAAAGTGGCAAAACTAAACCCCTAAAATGCAAACACAAATAAAAGACAACTCAATCAGCATTTAACTGGCCCCAGCATAACCCTGAGAAGTTCTGCAGTAAGCTGTAAGTATGGAGGGGCAGGTCAGGTGCTGCGCAGAAAATGTTAAAATACAGCCAATGCTGACAGCCAAGGCCCCCCATGCCGGAGCAGGGGTCGGACAACAGGCACAGCCACAGAGGGATTGTGATGGCTTTGGGGGAGAACCTGCATTTGGAGCCATTTTCTTGACTTCTTAAAGAGAAGAAGTATCTTGTATTTGTTCCGTTTGGTACATGAAAAACCCTTTGCATTGAGTCACACAAGTCTGAAGAGGAAGAATATGCAACAGTAGTTCAGGTTTCCCCAAGAGTGGTTTTAGGCCCTTGTGTGACATTAAACCTCACAACAGTTTACTTTGTTCCCTCTCCACGGGAACAGTTTGAGCTCTCAGACCTGGCAAAGCAGATGGAGTCTGGCTTGAGGAGAGGTGACAGAAGTTCCCGGAGGCCCATGGCCTCAGCGAAAGTGCTCCACGGAGCGCCAGCTGAGGAAAGCTGGCCAGGAGCTGTCAGGCAGAGGCTCAGATTTAGCAAACGCAGCCCAAAAGGGAGCCTGGGCACAGCTGGATAGGTCAGATAACAGGTCAGGCTGCCAAATCTCTCTCCCCATGTCCTTCCATCAGAAGCTGAAGAGTGAGTCCAACCTATTCGATATGTGGATTGAATTTTCATGAAGGTGATCAAAGCAAAGGGCATACTCTGGCTCGAGGGAAAAGCTATCCACCAGCAGGGAGCAAATCGGATAAAGAATGGGCTTAGCCATGCTTCTGTCCCTGCCTGCTAAGCTAATTGTTCATCAGGCCCGTTTTCCCTGCTACACTTGAAATGAGGGGGAATCTGGTTTTGGGGACTGCTGGAATACCTGAGGTCTGAGAACATGCAGCATCACTTTCATTGCAGTAATGAAGGCACAGAATGGCAGCTTTAAATGCTAAGGGTAATGATGCATTACCATTCACTCTCAATTAATCCAGAGCCTGCAATGCCGAGTGCACTTACTCCGAGAATTTTCTCAGAAAATGAAGCTAAAGTGTATTTCATTTATAAATCACAAAAGACACTTATTTGGCAAGAATAACCCCTGCTCATATACAATAAATCATGAACATCAACAGTCTCTAATGGATTTTGAGTCAGTGCCACGGACAGTGAAGCCCAGGGCCTGTGTTTCAGGATTCCAGGACTGTGCCAAAGGAGCCTTATAAATTATTAATGCATTCAGCACAGTGTCATCTGTGCCACTGGAGAAAATGAGACATTCTGGGGCTCCGTTTGTCATTAAAAAAGTAATAATGGGTTCAGCAGGCGGACCGTGCCTCTCCCATCCCTTGCCAGGATGAGCCAGTTAGCTCCACACTTCATAAAATCCCTTCCCCAAACTTTCGTACATGCTCTTGGTTCACGATGAGCAGCATTTAGAGAAGAGAAAAAGAGAGGGAAAGAAGAAGGCTGTTTTCACAAGTAGCCCACCAAAGCCAGACTTCCAGAGGGACAGAGCTAAGGTTTGTGTTCACAAATCTTGCGACAGGGAGGTGCATCACAGAGGTAGCTGGGGCCTCCTTCTACTTTGCCATACGGTGAAGATGTGGGTACATAGAATATTCAAGTTTTGGTCCCTACTGCTCAGTCTCTCATGCTTTTCAGTTATTCATCCCACAGTTTTCAACCTCTCCCCCTTCACTTTTGTCCCCATGGTTACTGAATCACTGTGTTCACAGAGATTTTCCTCACTAAAGAAAATGTGACTAACATGAGGCAGCTAAATTATCAGAGCCAACTCTGACATTGGTTTCTCCCAACATGGATCTTATCTTTGAAACGCCTTCAAATAGATCTGTTGCACTGGTACCAACTTCAAAGTAAGCAGCACTTCAGCTATTGACAGAGACAGAGCTGCATAAGTAATGCACAGGGAGACTTAAAATAGGCTGGATTCAGGTAAACATTCAAACACCAGCTTTAGCTAACCTGCAGCCTACTATTGAATGATACAAATAACTAAGAGATGTATTTTACTGGAAAAAAATTAAATCAAGCCCTAGAAGGGAAAGCACTGTTTCCTCACTGGACCTGGGTCTAAGAGTTAGAGCAGATGCAAATATCCTCTTCTTGAAGGCCAGTTTGGTTGAGCAGCGGGAGACGTACTTGTTTTAGGCCCAAAGAAATCTCTACTACAAACTGCACCAAAACAGGCCACTGGATAATAAGTGTAAAACCCCCAGCCACAGCAATCATTGTCTGCCGACCCACTGATCAGCAGAGCTTCCCCCACACTGAGCAGCATAGGCGGTTCCAGGGAAGTTTAAACCAGATCACCTCCAAATTAACCAGAAAACGATACAATAAAACTTGATTGCATCGGAGAGGCCTTTCTCCCCGTGACTCACAGTATCTGGTCAGCCACAAGAACCCAGACACTAAAGCAAGGGCAGCAGGACAACACTTCATGTAAGCACCACCAGCCATAAGCCAGCAGAGACAAGACTTGAGAACAAACATGGAACTCTTACCTTGGCCGCTACGGAGGAGTTCGGCTTCTCCAGGAGGTCCCAGAGCTTTTTCCTTTTCTCAGCGCAGCAAGTGTTATCGAATTCCTCCCCTTCCCTTTCCCTCAGGGTCTCAGCTTCTCTCTTCAGCTCCTCGTTCATCTGCTCCTTCTTCTGGTGGTAGCGGGCCTGGCAGCAGGACTCCAGGTAGATCTCGTCCACCCCCCAGTAGTCCAGCTCCTGGCTGAAGGACAAGGCGCACATCTCCTCCATCATGTGCAGCTTGCCAGTACGGTAGAAGTTCAAGATTGAGGTGAATGCCCCGGGATGCCTGTCGAAGAAGTACTCGTTCTCCTCCAGGTTGTAGTCATCACAGATCTCCATGAGGGAGTCGTGTGTGTTGCAGTCTCTGAGCTTACCCAGCCTGGTCCGCGGCAACCTGTCCAAGGTCCGCCAGAGAACCTCGTGGGCCAGCCCCCCCACGTTGAGCTTGACCCTTCGGGAGCAGGCCTTGCTCCTGACAATCTCAGTGGGGTCCGGAGGCAAAGAGGTAGTAGAGCGAGATCCATGCTTGTTCATCCCCAGAGGCATCGCTGGTCCCCCTCAGGCTGGACGCTCCAAGGTGCGGCGCGGGGCAGGGCGCGGGGGCCGGCTCTGCTCACCTCTCCTTCCCCTCCATGCCCCAGAGCTGCAAGAGAGGCCGCGCGTGGGTCCCCGCCCGCCGCCCCGCTAATCTGCGGGGGGGGGGGGGGCGCGGCGCTGTCCGCCCGCCGGTGCTGAACCGCGCCCGGCCCGGCCGAGCCCTCCCGCTCCCACGTGCGGCCGGCGCCGCCACCGAGCTCCCCCGGGCGGCGGCCGGGGCTCCCCCCGCCCCGGCGGTCCCCGCACGCCCCGTCCGCCAGGGATGCGGAGACCGAGTACGGCCCCGGGAGCCGCTGCTGGCCGGCGGGGCGGGCACGGGGTGGCCCCGAGCACCGTTGGGCGAAGCGCCCCAAAAAGGCGCCGAGGCCGCCAGCCAGGGGAGCGCTGGCACCGCGTCCCCCATCCCGGAGCGCCCGGGCCCGCCGGACCCCGGGTTACCCCCACGACCCCGCGGGGCAGCCCTCCCCTCGGAGCCGGCGGTGGCCCCCGCCCTGCCCAGCCGTGTAGGCTGTGGGGTGGGGGATGAAGAGGCTTTTAGTAACTCCAGCCTTGCGGATTCCCCGAGGAAAGAGCTGGGGCAGGGGAAAGGGGGGGATTTCCAGCCACTCTAACGACGCGCTCTGCCTCTCTGGGCTGCCCAGGGACGCCCCCCGCACCCGCACGCCGGCCTCTGCATAACCGGGAAAGCAATGAAAACAGCAATAAGGAAAAACCCCGAGCCTGCCTTAGGGAGCCGAGTGGCTCATGACAGCCCCGAGCACTGTTGCTTACACAAGATGGCACGAAGAGAAACCCCGGCGCAGCCAGGAGCGGCTCCTCCGTGCCCAGCCGGCACAGTCCGGGGCTCGGCCCCGTCCCCGCCGACCCAGGTTCCCCCAGACCCAAAACCGAACCCCCGCCTCTGCCTCCCGGCCGCCGCCGCACACGAGGAGAGGCTCCCCTGTCTCGGCCCGAACCCAGCCCTTGCCTACCTCCTCCTGCGGGCTCCCAGCGAGGCGGTGCGGGGTGTGCGGGGCCGAGGGCGGCTACATCCTGCGGCGGGGCGGGCGGCAGGGGCGGCCCCGCTCGCATCCCCCCGCGGGCAGCCTCAAGGCGGAGGGATGGCGGCGGCGCTCCCGGCTGTCCACGGAGCCCAGGGGGAGGGGAAGGGAAACGAGGTAAATCGTATCCTTCGGCAGGAAGCTTTCCAAGGCCTTCCCTCGGCTGCGGCTCCTCACTCCTGCCTACAGCCAGCGCCGGAGCCGCGTCTGCCCCCGCCCCCAGCCCGTTCTCCGTGCAGACACAAAGGAAAGCTCCGGTGCTCCCACCCGCTGCCTCGGAACGGAGATCAACAAGTGCAGCCCGGAGCTCCGGCGTTGCCGAGCGCGGCTGTCCCGGCGCGGGGCGGGCAGGCGGGCGCGGGGCGGACCGGAGGAAGGGCAGCTCCACCGTGAGCTGGAGCCCAGCATTGCAGCGCCCCGGGGCCGCTCCGCACCGGGGCACCGGGCAGACCCTCCCAGGGAACTGCAGCCTCCCTCCCTAAGGCGAGGGGGCTGTGCCGCCAGCTCCCGGTGCCATCACCTGTGAAAGCAGGAGCGAGGGCTGGTACCACAGAAAAGCGATGAGCGGAGAGCGCCAGTCAGCCCAGCAGGGCTCCCGTTGCCTCGCAGACGGTTCCTCGCTGAGCCAGGAGCAGCGGAGCTCAGGGAGGCTGCTCATCCCCCGGGTGTGAGGGCGACCCGGGCCCTCGCCCCCACCCCGGCTGCCCCTCGTCGAAGGAACGAGACTGTTCCCGGGATGGTTGCAGATATTTGCAGAAACAGAGAGGAGAAATAGTGGTAGATCTCTAATGCCGATTAGGACCATAAATATAACGTAAAGGAGCATTTACTAACCTGAAAATACAGCAGAAATTGAGAAAACGGTGACTTTCCTGGCAGCCACACAGCAAACAAAGTGCTCCTCTGCCACTCTGTCCTTCCTGCCTGCCTCCCTCCTTCACTCCCCACAGGGAAAATGGCCCTCGCTAGGCGCCCGGAGCTCCATTAGTACCAATTAGCATCACTTAGTGCAGTTCACCTGTTCGGACTGGTACCAGGGGCACACGGCTGTGCTCATTAGCCCCTTCTCCTCTTGCATTGATTGACCATAGCTCTTGACTCTAGAGACAATTCCTGCTACAACGTTTCTGAAATAGGAGCCTGGTGTCCGATTTTACGTGATTAACTAGGAAAAAAAGACTTTCAGTGCTGCTTTTCCCCACTTTCTATGCTTCTCTCCCTAGTCCCTGCCTGCCTCCTGTTGCCCCGTGTACGCCTTGTCAGTGTTACATGTTATATTTGGTGTTTGAGTGCCCACATTTTCTTTAGAGGTCGCCTTCTGAAATCCCAAACAGTGTTTGTTTTTCTCCAGTACCTCTCACAACTGTATATAATCTGTATATTTAGAAATTTCTAACAAGAAGTGGCTCACTACCTTCCTTTTGGAGATGAGGAAATTAAGATAGAGAAAAGCAAGATCACTCAGAGGGGAGGTGGAAGGAAGAATTGGGAATAAAACCTGTTGATCAGCTTAATCCCAGTCCAGTGCTCCTCTAGTGAAGTAGCTCCTCCTACCCCACCAAAAACTCCAGTACAGGACAGACATTAGGGCAGTATCTGGAGTTGTTCTGTTGCTTTTTCATCATTTCACCTCCACACCCTACTTTACTCCTCTTACAACAGAGATTAAACCCGTGATCAAGGCTAGGAAGCTAAATCTGTTAATGATTACAAAGTGCTTTGAAACTTCCAGCTGGCAGGTGCTGTAGGAGAACAAGAGTTTGTTTGTCAGCACTGGCCTAGGGGTACATTATCTCCCCTCGTGACATACGTGGGAGGAGGATGCTGGGAGGGAGAATGACAAGTAGTCTAATGCAGGGAGACGCATCACATTCACCACTCTAAATCACTGGGAGAGAGGCAACTCGGGCTTATTAGCAGGGCATCTGTGTCTTCCTGCACCCCTCTTGCTCTCCTGCCACTGCCATTCATGTGTCCTGCCAAGAGGCTGGAGAACCCCGTGGAGGGGGCACTTGGAGGGGCAGAATGGCAGCACGGGCTCCTGCACTGCTGGCAGCTCTCAATTCCACATGGGCCAGCACTGAAAATTGTACTGGTGGAAGCTGGGAGAGGGAGCCCTGCCCAGGGCAACCCCTCCAGCTGGCTGTGCCTGGGGTAATCCAGGAATCTGGGGAGAGGAAAGGATGTTTCCACCCCCAGGATGGCTGTTCCCTGCAGCACGTCATATCCCACACAGAGAGGTCGTCGGCAAGGGGCAGTGCAGGCCTGAGGATGCAGAGATGTGCAGTCTGCTCACTCTTCTCCAAGGTTATTTCACCCACTCTTGGTTTGGATACACCTTTCAATTGATATTTTTGTACTCTGAGTTTTGCAAACTTAATTTATGGTTTGTTATTTCCCCAGCCTCTGGAGCCAGCCAAATGATTGGATGCAGTTTGTGGCAAACCCTGTTTCTCTCCAGGTTTTACAGCAGTTATTGACAAGGAAACACCTTAAACACCAAGTACTTTAGAGGAAATACACAGAGTACGGCAAATAAATGTTCTCCTGGGCCTGCAGTCAGTGGAACAGACATCTGGATTTCACTGCCAGGCAGAAAAGGTTTGTAAGGCAGTGTTTGTTGAGCTACAACATTAAAGGGAAATAGGCTGAGCCTGAATGTGGAAATATCCCTCTGCTGATCTGCAGTGACTCCTCTGCCTGCATAAGGAAAAGTATCACATCTTCCCAAACACCCACGCCCGTACAACAGTCTGGCATCTTCCTGTCCGTCCTGCGAAGCAAGAGAGGAGGCTGCTTTACATCGTTTTAGTGGTCACAGGAAAACAAAGGGCTGTGAGAAAAGGGAGGCTCCTGGCCCGCCTGTGAGCCAGCGCTCAGCCCCGTCACAGTGGTGGCATGTGGGACAGGGGGTCTCCCACAGAGAGGGGCACAGCCGCTCTGGTGGCCCCTGAGTTTTGGCCCGTTCCCCATTGCTGAGTTTCACATTCTAAAATGAGCTCTAAGATGTAACCATAACTTGCATTGTTCTTGTAGCTTGAGGGCCTTGTACTTAGCCTCGGGACTGGGAAAGGCAATCGTGCACAATAAGCTGTCTCTGTTACAGAGTGTTTCCTATTCTGCCCCTTTAAGGATTCCCTTAGTTTCCAGGGATTTTCTTTCCAGACTGGAAACACTTCAGGTACAATGGAGATTTTCTTTTATGGCCCAAAATCCTTTCCCTTAAATGGGGAAAAAAAAAAAAATTATCAGGTTTCTTGGCAGAGATCCATAACAAGTGTTGAAAAGTGCAAAAAGAACTGAGATAGATAGTGCTTGTGCTACCGAGAGCCCAGCAGCATGGAAATACTGGAATACCAGGGTAAAATACTGGAAGCAGACAGCAAAATACAATCCAAAAGCAAACCTTAGAGAAAGAAGAGTCTCCTCAAAAATCCTAGGCAGAGCTTGGATCCAGCACTTGGATGATGCCAGCAGCAGCTGAGCTCCATCCTCCCCTGCCAAAAGCCCCTTTTGAGGGAATTCAGCTGTGGTTGCTATGGGGGAGTGGGTTCTGCCTGTATGGTGTGAGCCCTGGTCACCACAGCTTTCCTGGCCCCTGGCCTGCCCCAGCCTGCTCCACCATACACTCTTGCCCTCCACCAGCTCCTCCTCTCACCAGGGTAAAAGGAAGCCTTTTCCAAATTGTTTACTTATATTTACAAGTCTGTAAGAGCTCATAGGTCCAGAAAGCAGAGCATGACCTCTGCCAGGCTCTCTGGGTCCTCAGAGGAGCCCTAAAGGATCTGCATGGGCTGGGCTGCTGAACAGGATATCTGCAAAAGTGAGAGATGGAGAGAGGAAGAGCAGTGAGGTCCCAGCAGGAACCAGGGAGCAAATGCCCCTTGGCAGGAGGCAAAGTCTCTGAAGGCTGTCTCAGCTATGGAAAAGACAGGTGAAGGCAGCCCTCTCTTGTTTTTGGGAGGACAGTAGCTGCAGAGGGACCCTGCCCTGTAAAGAATAGAAGTTTTCAGCTTGCCTAAAATTTTCAGATGCATTTTGAAGTCCCAGGACTACCCAAAGCCCCCCCATTGCAGGCAGGCTCCCCTCCCTCCTGCTTCCTCGAGGAGGGGCTGACCAGTGCTGCATCCCTGCTTGCCTGGCACTGCTCTGCCAACAGCTCCTGCTGCTTAGTCAACCTTGGGCTCCTTTGGCCTTCAGGAAGAGGGCAGGAAACACGCCAGTGCATATTGGTTATCAGAGAAGCTTCTGGTTCAGGTTCCCACAAAGCACATTCAGAGCCATCCCCCTTGGCTCCAGCTTTCTGCCTTTCCCAGGATGTGCATTTCCTCCTGTGCATCTATTCAGTCTCTGTCTGTGCTCACCGACCACAAGCATAGACCCCGTGGCTCCTCTTCCCAAGGATGGCTCCATCAGATCCACCTTTCCTCTTATCTTGATGAGGATGATTCTGGGAGACTGGCTGAAAGCTGTTGGAAGCACCAGCCTATTCCCTAAGGTGTGTAAAGCATCACCTCCTGGCTGCATCTGTCTTGCTCACGTCAGGTTTGAGAACAAATACAATTGCTTCAGGAAGGAAAAATGCACAAACCTTTCTCTGGTTGAGGAATAAAATCACCCAGTGGGCCGATTTGTCCCTGTCACCCAGCTGTTAAAGAATTTGCAAAAGGACCTGAGAAATTCTCTCCTGCCTGTCAACCCTGTAGGCCAAACACTTGGGGGCCCCCGGTTCCTGTCCTGCCCAGGAGGGACTGGTAGCAGCAGGGCTCCCCCAGCCCCTACACCCCATGGAGGACCTGGGGGATGGATGTTTCCTCTTCTTGGCTTTCACTCTTCAGGCAGGGCTGGCACTGAGGGAAAAACAGCCGCCTATATAATATGTTATCTAACATTTAGCTTGGAGCACTGAGCCCTGGGAAGCAATTGGACTTGCCTTGTTATTCAGCAACTGCAGATTTATTAGCCCCTGAAGGGCTGAAGGCTCACATTAATCATCACTCAGGAGGGAGGGCAGCAGAGCTGGAGGGGTCAGCCAGTCTTCACAGCAGTGGAGACGTGGCCTCTCTCGCAGGGATGACCAAGTGCTCATCCAGCCAGCCAGCCACTTTCTGCTGAGGAATCCAAATGGCCCTGCAGTCATTCACACCCTTTGGGGCTGTGGCACCCCACCCCTGTGTGACTGCAGACAGACTGGGCAGTCTTTGGAGAGAGCCAGGGCCCAGGTCCTGGATGCAGTATCATTCCCAGGAATTCAGAGGCAGGAGGCCCTGCCTGCCCTCCCTAAGCTCCCCCCGTGGTCAGCATGCATACATGCTGATTTCCCTGATTTCCA